AATTTTGGGCAAAGGGGGAGCTCGGGATGGGGAAATGGGGTTTGGGGGAAAAGTGGAGATTTGGGAGAAAAAAGGGATTAAAAACAATTAAAAATGAGTCGTGAGGGGAAAGCGAAAGTTTAAAAAGGGAAGTGTGAGGGGAAAAATAAAAGTTTTGGTGAAAAAAGGTTTGGGTGAAAAAGGGGAGGTTTCGGTTAAAAAGAAAAAGTCTCGGGGGAAATTGGGGTTTTTTGAGGGTTTTTTTTTTAGGGGGATTGTGAGGGGAAAAAGGCGGAAAATGGGATTTTAGAGGGGGGAAAAGTGGGATTTTGGGTGAAAAAAGGGGAAATTTGGGGTGAAAAATGGGGAAACTTTGGCGTGAGGGAGGAAAAAAAGGGATTTGGGATAAAAAAGGGGAAAAATTGGAGGTGAAGGAGGAAAAAATGGGATTTTGGGTGAAAAATGTGGAAATTTTGAGGTGAGGGAGGAAAAATTGGGATTTTGGATAAAAATGGGGAAATTTGGGGTGAAAAATGGGGTAATTTTGGATTCTGGGTATAAGAAATGGGATTGTGGGTAAAAAAGAGGAAGAATTTGAGGCGAGGGAGGAGAAAATGGAATTTTGGGGGTGAAAAGAGATTTTTTGGGGTCATGAGGGGAAAAAATGGGATTTGGGGTTAAAAATAAGATTTTAGGGGTTTGTGAGGGGAAGGTTGGTATTTTGGGGAGTTTTGAGGGGGAAAAGGGAATTTTTGAGGGGAAAATGTTGATTTTGGGGGGATTTTTGAGGGGAAAATGGTGGTTTTTGGGAGGTTTGTGAGGGGAAAAGCGGAATTTGGGGTAAAAAAATGGGATTTTGAGGGGAAAATTGGGATTTTGGGGTAAAAAATGAGGGTTTGAGGAGGGAAAAGCGGATTCGAGCGGAAAGAAAGCGATTTTGGATGAAAAAAAGGATTTTTTGGTAAGTGTGGGGAAATTTGGGGTAAAATAGAGGGGAAAATGGGAATTTTGGGGTATTTCTGCAGGAAAATGGGAATATGAGAAAAAAATGAATTTTTGGTGGAAAATGGATTTTTTTTTTTTTGAGGTGTGGGGTTTTGGGGAGTTTTTGAGGATAAAACTGATTTTTTTAGGAGTTTCAGGGTTTGTGAGGGGAAAAATTGGAGTTTTTTGGGGGGAAAGTGTTTTTAGTGGGAAAAAACCGATTTTTATAAAGTTTTTGAGGTGAAAAATGAAGTTTGAGGGAGTTTAAGGTTTTTAGGAGAGCTGAGGAGTAAAAGTTGAATTTTTTTGGGGTTTTAAAGTAAAAATTAGAGTTTGGAGGATTCTGAGGGGACAAATTGTCGTTTTGGGGGAAAAACAGAATTTTGGGTTGTTGGAAGGGGAAAAATTGAGATTTTTAAAGTTTGTGAGGTAAAATTTAATCAGAGTTCATTTTATGAGGTGAAACTTTGAAATTTAATTTAAATTTATGAGGTAAAAAAGCGATTTTGAGGAAGAAAAGTGAGATTTCGGGGGAAATTGGGGAATTTTGAGGAGAAAAATGAAGATTTTGGAGTTGTGAGGGAGGAAAAGGATTCGGGGGAAAGACAAAGGTAAAAAAGTGGATTTTTGTGGAGATTTGAGGGGAAAAAAGTAAAGTTTTAGGGGAATTGTGAGGGAAAAAGTGAATTTTGAGAAAATTCTGAGGCGAAAATTAAGTTTTTTCGGGGTGTTTTGTAAAAAAAGTAATTTTATTGGAATTTTGAGGGGAAAAGTGAATTTTGGTGGAGAGTTGTGAGGAGAAAATGGATTTTTTTTGGTGTTTTGTTAAAAAAAAAGTAATTCTAGGGGAATTCTGAGGAGTTTGGGGAGTGGAAATGGTTGTAAGTAGGAAAAATTTAATTTTTGTGGGGGGAAAAAGCGTTTTTGTGGAAATTGTGAGGGGAAATTTGGGGTTTGGGACAGTTCTGAGGGGATTTTGGGGAGAAAAAACCGTTTTTTAAGGAAGTTGTGAGGGAGAAAAGTGGGATTTTGAGAGAAAAATGGAGTTTTTTTAAAAGTGTGAAGGGGGAAAATGAAATTTGAAGGAGCCTTGAGAGGAAAGGGTAAAAAATTCTCATTTTAGGGAAAAAGTGATTTATTTTAGGGTGCTGTGAGGAGAAAAAGGGATTTTGAGTGAAAAAAAAAGTTATTTTGGGAAGGAAAAGGATTTTGAGCGGAAAAAAAAATGACTTTGGGGGAAAATGGATTATTGGAGTTGGAAAAGAAGTGATTTTGGGAAGGAAAATGAGATTTTAGGGGAATTTCCAGAGAAGTTTAGGGAGTTTGTGAAGGAAAATGGGCATTTTGGGTTTAAAATGGGAATTCATGTAGGAAAACAGAATTTTGGGGAGAAAAATGGGATTTTGGGTTTAAAAGTGAGAATTCACGCGGGAAAATGGCAATTTTGGGGAGAAAAGTGGGGATATTGGGTTAAAAATGGGAATTCATGTAGGGAAATGGGAATTTTGGGGAGAAAAATGGGAATTTTGGGTTAAAAAGTGAGAATTCCTGTAGGAAAATGGGAATTTTGAGGAGAAGATGGGGACTTTTGGGTTAAAAAGTGGGAATTCCTGTAGGAAAATGGGGATTTTGGGGAGAAAAGTGGGGATTTTGGGTTATAAAAGGGTTTTTTTAGGGTGGGAGGGAAGTTTTGGGGTCAGTGAAGGGGGGATTTGGGGAATTTGGGGAATTTGGGGGATTTGGGGCTGTAGGAATGGGGGATTTTGGGAATTTGGGGATGTAGGAATGGGGGATTTGGGACTGTAGGATTTGGGAATTTTGGGGATGTAGGATTTGGGGGATTCAGGGGATTTTGGGGATGTAGGATTTGGGGGATTCAGGGGATTTTGGGGATGTAGGATTTGGGGGAT